CATTTGTAAGGCATTTTAAAAAATAAAAGCAATCTTTTAATATAAGATCATAATTTCATACCAGATATTGGGCTACATACATATTCTAAGGTCATTAGGGGGAAAATAACTAGTGCACAGGATTCTGAGAAACAATACATAAGTTTCCAAAAATGGAATTAAAGATTTACTAGGGTTGTCAATATTGCTTAGATTCATCATACTATGTTGACAACTTAAGGAAAACCCATTGGGCTGGATCAAAAACAAGGCAGAGAGAAATGGACTTCCAACGCTATTTATTCCCTTGCTTAATGGCCCATCCAGCCATGTGAAAAAATGCTACATTTGGGACTGAGACAATTCTTTTTCCCCATTGGGCGAGGATACCTTTTGTGAGAAGACATCACAGTGTACACTATTTATGCGGATCTCCTCCCATTCTTGTTCCCATTGGGTGAGATCTTGTGTGAGTGGACATCACAGTGTACACAATTCATTCAGATCTCCTCACATTCTTTTCCCCATTGGGTGAAGAGACCTTATGTGAGTGGACATCACAGTGTACACCATTTATGCAGGTCTCCTCACTTTTGATATGATCAGGAGAGAACAGAAACACAGTTCAATTCTCAATTCAAGGAAGTTCATTGAGACTAGTTAAAAATCCTATGATGTCTTCCCTTTTGTTTTATATGAAGCAATATTCAAAACATTACAGAAAGGACCATGTTTTCAATCCCCACAAAGCTTTTGATATGAACAGTAAGGAGTAGGGATAGAGTCAAGCTCTACCAGGCAGTGCCATGTACCCACTCACTCTACTTTGTGAATGTAATGGAAGGAGGCTTATGATCGTACAGAAGTGGCAGGCACATTGGTCCAATGTGTTTATAGGACTCCTATTATTTTAAAAAAATACTTATTAAAATTACATTGAAATGCCCTTTGGGGTGGTGATAAGGAAATGTTTTTGGACCTCTGGCTATTTAGGATTAGGCATTACCTACATTTATAATAGCAAAGTGTTTGTTTTTTTACTAAAGAGATGGAGCCCTCCAAGGCCTCCAGAAGATCCAGTGGAGCTCTCTAACATCTGACAGTTGCCCATCTTGATGTACAGTATAACTGACTTCTGTGAACTTCTTTACCTCCTCTCAGTTGTGAGAGGTAATGACTGTGCAGACAAAGCCCATATACACTGGACTCTGCATATATAAGCCATATTCCAAAGTATGGCCAATGTGTGGGTGTCAAGTGCTCCAAATGCTCCAGACATGCTTGACAATATATTTGCGATCTTACATGAGGTTGAGAAGTCAGAGGAATTGTTGCTGTGCTAATACTGCAATGCTACGCTTATTTTCTCAGAGGCAACTCCCACTGTGTTTATGTTACTCTCAGGTAAGTCTGCATACTATTATAGTCTGCATAGTACTTGAACCATTTAGGCCACTTCCAGACAGCTGAATAAAATCCCACATTATCTGCTTTGAACTGGAATATATGGCAGTGTGTACTCAAATATCCCAGTTCAAAGCAGATACTGTTGGATTTTCTGCCTTGATATTCTGGGTTAAAGGGCTGTGTGGAAGGGCCCTTACTCTAAGGCAGTGGTCCTCAACCTTCCTAATTCTGCGACCCCTTAATACAGCTCCTCATCTTGTAGTGACCCCCAGCCATAAAATTATTTTCGTTAATACTGCATAACTGTAACTTTGCTACTGTTATGCATCGTCATGTAAATATCTGATATGCAGGATGTATTTTCATTCAGTCCAAATTTGAGTACTGGTGGGGTTCGGGGGGGGGGGGGGGTTGATTCTGTCATTTGGGAGTTGTAGTTATTGGGATTTATAGTTCACTTACAATTGAAGAGCATTTTGAACTCCATCAATGATGGAATGGAACCAATCTTGGCAACCAGAACTACTGGAAGGGTTTAGTGGGCATGGCCCTTGAGTTTTGTAATTGTAGTTCACCTATATCCAGAGAGCACTGTGGTCTCAAACAACAATGGATCTGGACCAAACTTGGTGCGGATACTCAATATGCCCAAACTGGTGGAGTTTGGGGAAAATAGACCTTGACATTTGGGAGTTGTAGTTGCTGGGATTTATAGTTCACCTACAATCAAAGAGCATTCTGAACCCCACCAACGATAGAATTGGGCCAAACTTCCCACACAGAACCCCCATGACCAACAGAAAATACTGTGTTTTCTGATGGGTCTTTGGTGACCCCTCTGAAACCCCCTCGCGACCCCACTAGGGGTCCCAACCTCCAAGTTGAGAAACGCTCCTCTAAGGTCCCTTCTACACTGCCTTATATCCCAGGATCTGATCCCAGATTATTTTCTTATCCCAGATTATCTGTTCATGCAGACTCAAATATTCCAGTTCAAAGCAGATAATCTGGGGTCAGATCCTGAGATATAGAACACAGGGTGTCTTGTCTTTTATATCTTTTATACTTCATTGCAAACTGCATTAAGAGTTTTGAAAGTAAAACTTACTGAAGGGTGAGAATGCGTGGAGTGCATTTTCTAGTGTGTGTAAGCCCTTGTCCTTCAGTTAAACCCTTCAAGTGCAGGATGAGAATGGCTGAGTCAGAAGAGACATTACATTTCTGTAGACATTGTTCCAAAATTTGCATTGGAAGTTGTGTAAAGTTTTTTAATGCTGCTGTCGAAAGCCTTCTTAATGCTATTTAGAGGGGCAGGAAACGTGCCTCTGCATTGGGCAGCATAGAGAGCATATACTTCATTCGGATTTGGAATACAGCTTAGCTCAAGTGATAGGACACCTGCTTTGCATACAAAAACACCCCTGGGATATATTGTATTTATGAGTGAACCAGGAAATGGAACTATCCCATGGGGTGATGGAAACAGACCATAATGATGCGGTCAGCCTTCCCTTATCTACTGAAGAGAGTAGCAAAGCAACTTGCCTTAGTTCGTTCATGCTGGTTCTACTGATAAAACTATAGGATGCAGAAGAAGGGGAATTGCCATTCCTATTCAATGCCCCACATGTGTCCATGTGCTCTACAAACTTGTCAGTTTGTGAATCTTGTATATCATGAAATATGAATATATCTCTCTCTATCATCTATCTATCTATCATCTATCTATCTATCTATCTATCTATCTATCTATCTATCTATCTATCTATCTATCTATCATCTATCTATAGCAATAGATATAGATATATGATAAACATTATGCCCATCTTTTTTAAAAATATATATAATGTGCTTTACAATAATTATAATAGTGCTGATGACATTTTATGGAATCTCTAACAAACATAATTGTTTGATAGATAGTGTATTTTCCCTGATGCAGCATTACAGTGATTGCTAATAATGCAGTAAGGCCTTACACAATTATGGACATGGACAGAATTGAGGTGCAACGTGGTATATGAATACAGCTATATTTTTCATTTCTGGATAAATATGCAGAACTCTGACTTCCATAGCTAACAGCCTCTAGAGACCATACGAGTCAACTGGACTTTGAAGCAGTAATTTCATTAAGGCAAAGCATTCCATGCTCAAGTCAGAGAAAGCAATGCAAGTAATGTTGATTTTAGACATTTCTGAAGCCCCTTCTACACTGCCCTATATCTCAGGATCCGATCGTAGATTATCTGCTTTAAACTGGATTATACAAGTCTCCGCTGCCAGATAATCTGGAATAAACAAACAATCTGGAATCAGATCCAGGGATATAGAGGCAGTGTGGAAGAGGTCTGAGGCCCCTCTTCTACATTGTCATATAAAATCTAGATTATCTGCTTTGAACTGGATTATATGGCAGTGTAGACTCCTACAATCCACTTCAAAGAAGATAATATGGATTATCATCATTTATAATCTGGGTTATATGGCAGTGTAGAAGGGGCCTGGGTTACCTTGAGCATTCAAAATGTAAATGATAATATTCAAATAGTCTTTGTTATGTCTGATATCCTTAATTATCACAGATCTTGATAATCTTAATATTTTTGATCATATTGATTATCCTTGAAAAATATTTTGAATTCCTGTGGATTTGGGGACCCATTAAGGAATACTATAAAACATTATATCTTCTATTTTCCTAAAGCATGGGAATGTGCCTGTTTTTCATATCTGCTCTGGATTTGTCAATATTTACATGTGAATTTCAACCATCACTAAGACTGTGGACACTCACTATACTGTAAAAATAATAATAATAATAATAATAATAATAATAAATTATTATTATTATTATTATTATTATTATTATTTGTCGTGTCAGGAGTGACTTGAGAAACTGCAAGTTGCCTCTGGTGTGAGAGAATTGGCTGTCTGCAAGGACGTTGCCCAGGGGACACCTGGATGTTTTGATATTTTACCATCCTTGTGGGAAGCTTTTCTTATGTCCTTGCATAAGGAGCTAGAGCAGATAGAGGGAGCTCATCCGTGCTCTCCCCGGATTCGAACCTGCCACCTATATGTCTTCAGTCCTGCCAGCGCAAGGGTTTAACCCACTGCGCTACCGGGGGCTGTATTTATCATATATCTGGACACATAGTCCACATCTATGTCCCTGCCTTAAATTCCATCTTCACTGCCATATAATGCAGTTAGGACTCATATAATGCAGATAAATGCACTTAAACCAGGCATGGGTAAACTTCGGTCTTCCAGGTTCTTTGGACTTCAACTCCCACAATTCCTAACAACCTACTGGCTGTTAGGAATTATGGGAGTTGCAGTCCAAAGCATCTGGAGGGCCAAAGTTTGCCCATGCCTCTAGAATTCATGTGCATGTGTAGGGAGAAACCAATAAGGTGAACTGTTTGTTGAAGTAAAAATACAAACATTAGGACATTAAAAGGCCAAGAAAGCATGAGCTTCTACTTTTGTCCCTCAAAAATATCATATCTCATATACACTTAAAAAACCTGCATTCATACAATTTAAAAGGAGTGTAAAAACTCTCACAGCTCAAACCACTTCATATAACTTGTGCTATGGTCCATCAGTGCATCAATGGTCTCTGATCTTCTATAAATTCATAATGTGGCTGAAGTGACCCTGAAATGGAAAAACAATATACTGATTCAATACTGAAGTTATTACATGGATCAAAGTTTACATGATATCATCGGTCAACTGGCAGTCTTGACAAGCTTGGGGAGTTTTAGATTTGGTATCAAAAAAATAAAACTAAAAGGATGCCTTTGTCTTTTAAGGGTGGCTCCATAGAATGAAGCTTGGAAAGTTAGCTCTAAGGGCCCTTCCACACAGCCATATAGCCCAGAATATGAAGGCAGATAATCCATAATATCTGCTTTGAACTGGATTATCTGAGTCCACAGCTCAGTGTGGATTTTATACAGCTGTATGCTTGCTGGTAAAAATATCAATATGACGCTGAATGATACGAGGGTTGAATGAAAAGTAATGCCTCCCCCTTTGGTACTCCTCAACAGACAGCAGTATTGGTATGCGGCAGGTACTGGCTTGTTCAGTAGACTCTCCTCTACATTTCCTATTTGGCGGGAAGCCTTAGCATTGAACAGTTGTGTTGTTAAAGTGCGAAGTATGGAACCCTGTGAAGATGGTTGGTCAATGCGACTTAAGCAATGTGCAGTCATTGAATTCTTGACAGCAGAAGGTGTCATCCCAAAGGAGATTCATCAGAGAATGCAAGCTGTTTATGGTGATTGTGTTGACGTGAGTACTGTGCATCGTTGGACGAGAAAGTTTAAAGATGTTGAGGTGGGGACATCTGACTTGTGTGATAAACAAAGAGTTGGATGTCCTGTGACAGCAACCACCGAGTTTCACAAGCAAAAGGTTGACAGATTGATTCAGATGATCGTTATATCACTCAGAAAGAAATTTCAAGCATAATTGGCATTTCACAACGTGTGGGTCACATTATTGCTTTGCTTGGCTATCGGAAGATCTGTGCACGATGGATACCCAGGATGCCGACGCCTGAAATGAAAGTGCACGGACTTGAAACTTCAGAGACTGGATCTCACCACCGCACGACATCCTCCATACAGTCCAGACTTAGCACTGTCTGACTTCCATCTGTTTCTGATAATGAAAGATCTGCAGGGACATAATTATGATTCTGATGAAGACGTTGAGAGAACTGTGAGACGCTGGTTGTGAAAACAGAGTGACGGCTTCAGAAAACTTGTTCATTGTTGGCAGAAATGTATCCAATTGTCTGGTGATTATGTGGAAAAGTGAATAGTGGTAGTTAAAGAGCACATTCTAAGGATTATTTCTGCGTTTGATTTATTAAAATATTCCCATCCAAACCCAAGTAAAGAAGGTGGAGGCATTACTTTTCTCAACCCTTGTATTTTTTTTTTCCTTTTCATCCATTAAGTTTCAATTCCAAATTGGGTATCAGAAATATAAATCCAATGCCATTCATTTATTAGACTTTTTCAGGGTTGTTTCAGCATAAGGATAACAAAGAAGGCTGATATGGTATGGATCCTCCCAGCTACTAACCTAAGCTATGAGCATGGGTCAATTCACAGGAGGATCCATCTAGTGATACAGTAAGGTTCAGATGTTTCATAAAGTAATGCAGATCAGGACAATTTGGGGCAGATTTGGTGTTCCTAGAACTGTATCCTCCCCATCAGGAGGACCCTGGAAATGTGGGTGCATGGAAGATAAGCTGCAAGCAAGCATAATTTGTAACATTACACAATGTCCTTATTCTTCAGGGACATGTCTGTCAAGGCATTGGCTTTAATTTCAAATTTCCTGGCTTTGTAGAGTTTAAGCCAGCATGACATAGCACTATCCCTGCTCCAAAAAAGAGCAATATTTGATAACTGAGTATTTGGGGGTAAGCGGCTTTCTGTATGTTCATACTGTGGAGTGCTATAATGCTACACTATAAGCTCAGAGCATTAAAACAAGAAAGGGGGTGTGGTGCCCATTCATACATTATTGGAAATACCAGAAGAACATGTACAATACAAGCATTGTCCTTCTAGTGTATGAAAATAATTTAACAAAACTTTTGGAACAGGAATTTACTATTATGTTAGTCAAATAGGTCTGGGTTATTTTTCTACTTTCTACTCTAGAGGAGAGTTTTTTTGTGTCAGAAGTGACTTGAGAAACTGCAAGTCACTTCTGGTGTGAGAGAATTGGCTGTCTGCAAGGACATTGCTCAGGGGACGCCAGGAATTTTGATGTTTTACCATCCTTGTGGGAGGCTAGAGAAGTGGTAAGTAGTTGGTAGTAGTTTTCAGAGAATGAGGGTTTTCTTTTTGTTTGCTGGGATTTATTATTATTATTATTATTATTATTATTATTATTATTATTATCTTTTAGAAGTATTTGAAATAGAGAAATAGAGGAAGGGAAGGAAAAAAAGCTAAACTTGTGACTCTCCCAAGCGCCCAAATGCGTGCATGTACCCTACCCATGTGTCTGGCATGAACCCAACTACCAGTCAGTCCCAATAAATAAAAAGACTCAAGAAAATAAAAGAAAATAAGGGAAAATCGAAACAATTAAACTGTGATGCCCACTAGGGGAGGAGGAGCCAATATTGGCTGCCACATAATCTTGTTATGGATGGGAATCTGTGAGGGCTGGGTCTGTGCCGTTATGGGCACCTGAACAAACCAAAGAAGCCGAAGTGACTAAAGGAATCTGCACTCAAGCCTAATTACTATTAATATATCATATTATTAATGTATTGTCGAAGGCTTTCATGGCCGGAATCACTCAGTTCCATATATTTTTCGGGCTATATGGCCATGTTCCAGAGGCATTTCTCCTGACGTTTCGCCTGCATCTATGGCAAGCTTCCTCAGAGGTGAGGTCATGAGAACAGGAGACCTCACTACCTCTGAGGATGCTTGCCATAGATGCAGGCGAAACGTCAGGAGAGAATGCCTCTAGAACATGGCCATATAGACTGAAAATACCTACAACAACCTAATATAAACTTTGTTTATATCTCTCTTCATCCCATCAAAACTCAAAGCAGCTTACAAATTCAAACCAACAGAACACACATTAAAATACCAGTAAACTAACTCTAATACTAAAATAATTTAAAACATGCATTTAGAATAAAAAGATGTTAAATAGCTGGGACATATGCTTTATAGCCCTTTATATAATCTTGAACAGGATAGGAGTAGGTTGGCTTATTCTTCCCACCTCAAAACTTGAGCTGAATTGGACAATTTATGAAATGGAAAATATCGAAAAGCAAACAGAAGATCCAAATTTTTGTGGAAATGCTTCTCTCTGTCCATCAATATTAACTATCTTCTAATTTGGACAAACTCGAAAGATAGAGTAATCTGTGCCTTTTCAAATTCTTGAATTGAGATTCATTTACGTGACTAAACACTGCTTTCTAGAGTAATTTGAAAAATGAGCCTGCGGTCTCTATATTTTCAACATGTCGCAGGGAAAAGATTAGTTTGCACTCTGCTGGCATGCCAAGAAAAAAAAAACCTAAATAAATTCGCCCTTTTATTTACATGCTTTATCCCTGAGCAATGTAATTGCAGAGTGGCTTTTTTTTTATTAACCTTATGTTTTATGGCTCTAATATTTAAGAACAAGCCTATCTTTTATGTCACAGTAAGAAGGTTAATATACTTACAGGTTCTCCAGCAATACATCTTGGACAGGGTTGAACAGGAGTTCTGGTTTCATTATTCGGAAATATCTGATTAATAAGAACATATACATAGAAATCTTTTTTTGAAAGCCTACAATCACCATTATTTGACATTTTAATTATGAAATATATTAACATCTTGCCTTAAAAATATAAGAATTGGACTGGTGAAAATTTACCAATAAAGTTGGCTTTTCTTTCATCTTCTGAGGGTTGAAAAATTCCGTAGGATTGTTCTGCTTCAGATCCAGCTCCATACTGTCGTAATCTTCAGCACACTTGCTTGGTGGGTGGGAAGTGCAGATAACTGTCTCTGAACTTCTACATAGCCGTTTCTGTAGGGGAGGTTGGGTGGAGGAAGAAAAATAAATGAAGAATGAAGCAGAAATATGATTCTATTATACATGCATAAATGCCTAGAGCAGTGGTTCTCAACCTTCTTAATGCCGCGACCCCTTAATACAGTTCCTCATTTTGTGGTGACCCCAAGCAAAAAAATATTGTTATTGCTACTTCATATCTGCAACTTTGCTACTGTTATTATGTAAATATCTGATATGCAGGATGTATTTTCATCACTGGACCAAATTTGAATACTGGTGGGGTTGGGGGGTTTAATTTTGTCATTGGGATTTATAGTTCACCTACAATCAAAGAGCATGCTTTACTCCACCAACGATGGAATTGAAGCAAACTTGGCACACAGAACTCCCATGACCAACAGAAAATACTGGAAGGGTTTGGGGACATTGACCTTGAGCTTTGGAGTTGTAGTTCACCTACATACAGAGAGCACTGTGGACTCAAACAATGATGGATCTGGACCAAACTTGGCATGAATACTCAATATGCCCAAATATGAACACTGGTGGAGTTTTGTGAAAATAGTCCTTGGCATTTGGGAGTTGTAGTTGCTGGGATTTATAGTTCACCTACAATCAAGAGAATTATGAACCACACCAATGATAGAATATAAACTTTGAATTGTCGAAGGCTTTCATGGCTTTTTCCACTCGCAAACACTTTCCACCCAAGAAATTTCTATTGGATCCAAGTAATATCTCTATCTATCTATCTATCTATCTATCTATCTATCTATCTATCTATCTATCTATCTTCCATACACATAATATAATAATACACATACTATACATATATACAATACATTATATATAATGTATAGTATATACATACATAGAAACTATTCTATACACATAATATAATAATATGCACATAATTTCTATCTTCTATACACATGATAAAAGTAAAACTCTCTATATGTGTATGTGGCTGGGGCCTCCAGTTACACAGACAAGCTCCTGCCTCCACAAACAGCTATAGCTGCTACTACTATGGAGACACCAAAGGCCCTCCCTCCAATGACATTGCAGGCTATAATAAGCACCATGAACATGTCTCCCAACCCCTGCCAATGTCCTCCCCAAACACCATACTGCCCACCACCCAAGTGAAGGCTTTCATAAGGGGACAATTTCATCCTAAATTTTCTGTTTTTCTTCCACCAGACACCCAATGTTTCTGATTCTTTCCCTTGGTGTGGAATTTGCATGATCCTGCCCACTGCCTCTCCCTTAACCCCTTTCTATTATTCTCTATGGTATACAGCAAACAGGGAAATTGATTGGCAATGGAACATACTAGAGGTTCAGGGAAGTTTCACCATTAATTACAGGAGTTATAGGTACTGGGATGTACAGTTCAACTATAATGTAAGAGCTGCACTCTGAACTCCACCAACGATGGACCTTTAACTAATTTGGCACACAGAAGCCCCATTACCAGAAAAATCACTGGAGGTATTTGGAGGGATTTATAGTTGTAGTTCACCTACATCCAGAGAACACTGTGAACCCAAACAATGATGGATGGGGACCAAACTTGGCATGCATATCTGATATGTCCAAATTTAAATATTGTGGGTTTCGAGAAGAATTGGTCTGGATGCTGAATACATGAAGATTGTGAGTAAAACAGATACATTATTTTTAACAAAGTCTACTTTATTTTTGTCTCATGAGAACATGATAGAGAAGCATGATAGAAGAGTAGATGTTTTGGGCACTGAAAAGGAACACTTCTGAAGAATGGCTGTTTTGTGCATTACCATAATCTCTGTTCCTAACAGATCAGAGACAACTAGGTTATCGGTCTAACAACTGAAAAGCCAAATTGCCTTGCATAAGTAAATGGGGATATATACCACTGAAGAGAAGATTTTTTTGCCTTGTTTTTTTTTACTTGTGTTCTATTTTGAAATTGTCATATGACTAGTCAATAAATATTATTATTATTACTCAAATGAGTTTTTGGCTCTTCTCTAGAAGATCATATTTCTACAAAAGGTTATGATTTTCAAACTGTTGTGAATTCCATTTTTCTTTTAAAGGATATGGAGATTCTGGTTTTCCAAAAGGTTATGATCTCTAAAAAGGTCATGCCTTTCCAAAGTTGCTAACCAATTTGTTCAAATGTTTAAAACAGTCACTAGATGGCATTTAGAAACTTTTTGCTATTGCCATTTTTTTCTCAATCCCAACACTGAGCTAAGGGTTCTAACCCACAGCTTAAGTAGTGGTCGAATTAATACTATTCAAATGGAGCTGTGGTGGCGCAATGGATTAAACTCTTGAGCAGGCTGGACTGCTGACCTGAACATTGGGTTGCTGACCTGAAGGTTGCCAGTAAAAATCCGCGAGACGGAGTGAGCTCCCGTCTGTCAGCTCTAGCTTGCAGGGACATGACAATCCTCTCAGTAGGATGGTAACACATCCAGAAGTCCCCTAGGCAATGTCTCTATAGATGGCCAATTCTCTCACACAGAAGCGACTTGCAGTATGCTTTCAAGTTGCTTCTGACACAATAAAAAATATTATTTAAGATAGTGCTCTAACCCTGAGATTCGTTCTCCTTTCCCTGAGCCTTGGAAATGATATCTGAGAACACTAGTTTGAAATATAGCCACCAAAAACAATGTTGTGGCAGTATAAACCCTGAAGCTGAAAAGCTCCTCAACATACTATCCTACAAACCAATTTGGACAGGAAAGGACAGGAAAGAGCTAAAGAAAATAGGAGATAAATATGGTGTTGCTTCTATCTTGGTAACTTTGCTCACTCACATCATAAACCCCAATACAAGAGAGTTGTTCAAAGTTGACCAAGGGCTTGAAAATGCATTCTATGTTCTTGCAGATGCGATGTATGGAAACTAAATTCAAAATTTGAATATAAACAACAACACCAAATCCTGTTAGCTCAAAACAAAGTGGATGAATGCATGAAGTATCTCCAAGGAAAAAAGCTAAAACAAGAACAGAGTTGGAAGGGGAAAAAAGAAGCAAGATATATCTAAAGGAAGTGAATCAGAAACAAAATATGAATTATACTAAGAGTGTGCAAAATGTAATAATACAAATCTGAGAAGGTCCCCTGAAGGCAGGCCGCTTTCCACCGGGAAAACATCCTCCTCCTTTGTTATTGCGGAATTTGTCCTTTATTAAAAGCTATGGCATGCAAGTACAAGCAGCATAACTAGCAAGATGCATGAGAGGAAGAGATAAAAGCGAAAAGTGATTTAGTGCTATGCATCAGAAGAAAAATTCTTATCAAAAATAAATTCAGAGTATTGCTTTGAGTCTAAGGTACTTAGTATCAGGGACAGAAACTTAACATACAGAGTAGCTAGCTAAGAATCTTATACTAATGCAAGCAGAACTTTCTTCTACAGAGAATTCAATATTATTCTGAAATTCTATGGTTTTGGAAACATCTCAAGGAAGTGCAACCCTGGACCAGCATAGAATTCTGATTGCAAATACTGCATTCATAACACAATGCCTAGCATAGCTGTGGCAAGGCCCAATGGGTTCAAATATCTTTAGAGACCTCTACTTCTTACTGAATTAATCAAAATACGGTGTATAAATGTGCCAGCCCTGTTTTAATAGGGTCTGAAAGCCTAAATATGCCAGCTATTAAATCTGATACAGAGACTAGAACTCGAGATCATATAATTAGGAGAGTGCCTTACCTGTATATTTGCCTGAACTGGATTCTGCATAAATAGTTAACAAAATGTATGGAATGAATACAGAGCATTGGGATTTATTGTTAACTGAAGAAATGGTGGAAGTTTTTGGTAATATTAGCTAGTGCCTTATATTAACAAGTACATTATAATCTTCATGCCATTGGTGGCAAATGTAACATCAAGGACTCTTTTAATTTGAATCCTTTCTTGCACGAGTCTTCTAAACTAGGATTCAGAGTAACTTGTTTTTGTCTTTCGGTGTCAAAATGTGTGTTACTCATCTTTTTAAAATGCAGTCTCCACCATGTTTTTGTTATACAACACAGAAAATAATCAGGAGATAGGAACATTGTTTTATGCATGAAATACACACCGAAGACAAACCAAGGGGAAAATGTGTGAATGTTCTGTCTCAAAACCAAACAGAGCTCTCGGCAGACATCACACTAAAATGACCCAATAGTTACAGTAAGCAACAAAGATGAATATGCAAACCCTGCTAGGACCAAGTTAATCCTTCCACTAAATAAAAGACAAATCCATAACTCAGAGATAGATTAATTTTTATCAAATCCATTTATTTTAATGGAAGCCTTTAAGCAATTCACTCAACTATATATAGTAACCTATAGAGCTAGGCCCCCTGGTGGCGCAGCGGGTTAAACCGCAGAGCTGCTGAACTTGCTGACCGAAAGGCCGATAGTTCAAATCCGGGGAGCGGGGTGAGCTCCTCCATCAGGAACAGCTTCTGTCAACCTAGCCGTTTGATGTGAGTAGATCAATAGGTACCGCTTCTGTGAGAAGGTAATGGTGCTCCATGCAGGCATGCTGGCCACATGACCTAGGAGGTGTCTATGGACAGCGCCGGTTCTTCAGCTTACAAAATGGAGATGAGCACCACCACGTCAGTCACGACTAGACTTAGTATTATGGAAAACATTTACCTTTTATAGGGCTAGGCAACTTCAGATTCAAAATTTGTCAGGAAATACTAAGACATAAGAAAAAAAAATCAAACAATCAAAAAGAAAAAATGCTTTGATGTTTATTTCCAGTTTCAACATTTGACGAGTGTTTGCTTATTTGTTTGGGGAGAGATAATCTCTGTGGCCTCTTAGATACAAAGAACAGAATGTTCAACATTTGTTCCCTTCATTTTTTATTCTCTGGATATAGGATAAAGGAGCCCACACAGGTTGCCCTTGGAAAGTCCTCTTCACCTATCCCTCCTATAATTTTTAATGGTACGTAGTACAGATTTCAGTCTCAAACCAATAGGTTTGGA